GCAAGTTCTCTTCTCCGATTCACAAATTTCATTATCAATCTTCCAATTTCTAAGAAAACAGGTAAGTTTTATGAATAAAGAGAAATAGCTTATGTATTGCCCGAAGGGAGGCACGCTCATGCCTCCGCCACCGTGCTCGTAGCACGTCTACGAAGGCACCAGCGTGCCTCTATACTGGTGCCATGCCGCCTACACAGAGGCACGCTGCCTTAGCAGTGACAACATGCCTCCGTGCACGTGGACGGAGGCACGTCACACAGTGTGCCTCCATGTACGAGAATGGAGGCACGTCGTGTCTCCGTCCGCGTGCACGGAGGCACGCTGCGCACGGTGTGCCTCCGTGCACGCGAACGGATGTTCATTCCTAATGCATGGCTATAAATCCTTGTTTAGGTTTATGCTCCATGGTATGGCCATTGCCAAGCTCTTGAAAGCAACATACAACAAGCTCTCCAAGCACTTACGCGACGTTGAATATTTGTTATAGCCAAAATGGATGGAACCACAAATGAACAGCCCAGGGCCAAGGTAACGTTATGCAAATTTTCCTGTGTTCCCAAAATATCCGCTGTGAGTAGTGTTTGAGAACTTCATTTTGGATTTTCGATGTTTTTGGTTCATTTGGATTGTTGAGAGGACTCTCCGCTTCCAAATTTATAATTAGACGTTTTTTTTTAAAAATTACTTGGTAGATTTCTGTTGATGCCGTTGTTGCATTTTACAAACTCTTGGAGGAACTTATTACAATTTCCTTTTGTATTTATTGAGAAATATTTGATGTTTTTGGACAAGCAAATCACAATGATTTGAATCAACATGTTTAGTTTGTTGTAATGCCCGAATAATAATTTATAGTCTTTTCATTTTGGTAAATTGTATAGTGGACATCAGAGAGAGCTTAATGACATTGTAATTAGTTTTGTGGTGCTGCTGCATATGGATTTTAATTCATTAGCATATTCTACCAGTTATTAAATGCATGTTAGTACTAATTCCTTCTTTTATTCATTTCTTTTTGAAGGGATATTCTGGTGATTCTGAAGGTGTCAATGCATGGGAAATTGAAGCTATAAGATAAGATGGCATAATTGTATGCGTCTATTACAAGCTTGTCAGTTGTAGATGTAATGATAATGTTTTTTTCCATTTATTTGTTTCTTTATGGACCACAAAATTGTCATCCACAACCCCATTTGTGATTATTGAATGGCTTGTAATCTTTTCTTGAAACAAGTAATTCATTACAAGATGTAAAAATGTTCTGTTTCTCAATTTGTGCAGATCAACCCCATTATGTTATGTTTCACTTTTCATCCAAATTCTCTACAAGTTCTCTTCTCCAATTCACAAATTTCATTATCAATCTTCCAATCTCTAGGAAAACAAGTAAGTTTTATGTATTCACTTTTGCAATCGTAAAAATTGTTGCTTGGCTGTGTTTTACTATGTCAAAAGCAGGAGTGTCAAAGCAACTCTCAAGGTTTGTCTATTTTCTTTCTTTCAGTTTGGGGTTTGGATGTAAGATATTTTTATGTTTTTTTTCCATACGTGCACGGAGGCACGCTGGTGCCTCCGTGCACATGCACGGAAGCACGCTGAGCACGGAGGCACCATCGTGCCTCCGTGCTGGTGACGTGCCAACGTGCCTCCGTGCTCGAGTCGTGCGTCCGTCCGCGTGCACAGAAATGGATTGCTCAAAATAGTGATTGAAATAAGGTATTTTAATGCCAATTAGATACTAACACTGCAGAAAATTCCTGAAAGATGTCTAAATTATGAGTCAGATAAGCATATCTAACAAAAATAAACCAGTTCAGAATTTTTACTGATGGTTTTTATATGATATTTGGATCTACTAATTTTATTATTATTATTATTATTATTATTATTATTATTATTATTATTATTATTATTATTATTTCTGAAACTGTATGTGAT